TTCTACCGTGTCAGTTCGTCCTAGCTGGCTTTACCACAGGGTCTGGTTGCGACGTCCAGGTGGGTCCATCTCAACATTTCTAATCCCCTTGGGACTGCCTTAAGCATGTACACCATATTATCTTATACAGCTCCATTATGCCCATACGAGTTACCTTGGCGAGGGGTCGCCCACCAGGATATTGCTGGAATATTGCTAAAAGCGGCGTAAGACTAAACTCTTCACCACATTTACCGAGAGGGTAGGGACGGAGAAAGCAGTATAGAGCGACAATTTTCTTTATCTCATTATGATGCGAGTAGTAGAATCCTGTGATTGTGGATCTGAATTCCAGGTTCGCTGTGAGTTTTGATGTACGCGGATCGTCAGCACCATACCGCGAAAGTGGGCTTCACCAGTAGGTAACGTCTAAGACCTACACCATCGTTTACCCTCAATATCAAACTGACAACAAACTGTCATCACAGCCAAATTGTTGTTCTTAGGAGCGTCAGACCAACTCATACACATTCTCTTTAACATGCCGCATATGTTTATCTGTAAAATATGCAAGAAAATTAAAACACAATTCCGAACGTTATAATCCTTAAGAATATCTCATAATTATACTCCACTTAAAAATATTTTTTCTTAGGAGGAGGAGTGTGTGAGTTTTAGTTTTACGCCGCACTCAGCAATATTCCAGCTATATGGTGGCGGTCTGTCAATAATCGAGTCTGGACCAGACAATCCAGTGATCAACAACATGATAATCGATCTGCGCAATTGGGAACCGATGACATGTGTCAACCCAGTCAGCGAGCCTGACCACCCCATCCCGTTAGTCGCCTCTTTACAACCAGCATGGGTTACTGAAGGTTCATTCTAACCCGGACCTTCACGGGTTATGTTTTCTTAGAAGTTTCTTCAGAAGATAGACACCCTTATGTCTAACAACTTCTGATTTACTGTAATGGTGTAATGGTGATACCTCGTTGTTATAGATCTTAATACCGTATGGTTAACAACGGATAAGGATCTATACCGACACGTTGCTATAGCATGATGAAAAATATAGAAGTCGTTATCCAGAAAAAACCCTGTCTCTACATTCTAAACAAGATCACATTGTATTAACCTAAACCAGCACAAAGACATCTTAGCAACGTTGTTCTCATTGATGCCTTCTCTATGTACGTCACATCGATGTATTTCGTTAAACTTGTTTTGTGAAATGCACATTTGCGATTATTTCTAAAAATGAAATTATAATGACTAATTAGCTTTAATTCCTCTCCGAAGGTTATCATGCCTGTTGTTCAACAATAAACAATAAGTCAGCCACACAATCGGCTCATCTCGGTTCATTTGTGTCATCTCCGACAACGCTGTGAGAAATCCAGGCTTTTTCGTGCATGTAAAAGACGGCTGGCATGACACGCACAACCATTCGTTATTAGGGAAACTAACAGAAATGTTTGATATGTTATTATCCTTTTAATATTCCTCATTCTAGGTTGAACTGGTAACAAAGAGACCACTGAATCCCCTCCTGCCGTTCCGAACGTTTACGATGATGCTCAAGGTCAAGGCCATCAGGGACAACACTGTGGTGGAGTTTACAATTGGGCCAGGAGGACTGACGCCGGTGAGTGACCTTGAGGAAAACCATTGCCCGAAATCCGTAACATGCTCTACATATATACTGAGAGAAACAAATAAAGGATCACTGGACAATTCAACCCTTCCTTTATTATTTTCCAGTTTCTATCACCACGGCGCTATTAAAAGCTAGTGATGGAAAATGGAAAATATTAAAGGAACGCTTGAATTTCCTTTATTTCTTTCTCTCATTATATATGTTCTCCCAAACTCTAAAGAATGAGCGAGTGAGTGAGTTTAGGTTTACGCCGCACTCAGCAATATACCAGCTATATGGCGGCGGTCTGTTAATGATCCAGTCTGGACCATACAAATCCAGAGATCAACAGCATGAAGATCGATCTACGCAATTGGGAAACGATGACATGTGTCAATCCAGTCAGCGAGCCTGACCACCCGACCCGTTAGTCGCCTCTTTCGAAAAGCATGTGTTGCTGAAGATCAATTCTAACCCGGACCTTCACGGGTTCTAAAGAATGAACTAAAGAGGGAGTCATTATTCAGTCTAGAATGACTGGACAAGGCCGGATTATCTCAGCTGCTAAATTTAAGGAAGATTTTAAGCTCCACTGGGATTATATGTGCTTGTATATACTCTTTAGGGTACCCTCTTTAGATCTATATAATCACACAAGTGCTTGTAGGTTTGATCTGAGCGGTAAATGACTGGGATCAATGCGGTGTCAAAACCAAGTAATTTGTTTTCTACAATCAAAATAATTGGATGTGAAACCAACAAAGAAAATAGAAATGTTATATTATTATATATCAAGTATTTTACAATTAATTCTATCTTACCTTACACATAAATGTCGTTTTCTGATTGGCTGAGCGCTCTTCTAATATTTTCAATATACTCTGTATTGTCCATGTTAACGCTGGGAATGCCGAACTCATTTGGTACTTCGTGTTAGCAATTCTTTATCTCGAATCGTATGATGTACGGAAATTACCAATGTTTTGCGAATGCAAATCACTGGAAGGGAAATAACTCTAAACTTGACTTTCTTGTCTGCTAGATTCTATGTCATCAGAAGATCTAGAAGGCTAATTGCCTAACTCTGGTACTCAGTATTATGATCCGATACCAGTGCTTGAAAAATAATTAAAATAAGACTTTGGCGCCCATGGGCTCAGGGAACATAAACAAACATAGAGGATACATCAAGCCATGTCCCCCTCGTGAACAACTGGCTGGTGGGGTAGCCTAGTGATTAAAGCATTCGCTCGTCACGCCGAAGACCCGGGTTCGATTCCCCACATGGGTACAATATGTGAAGCCCATTTCTGGTGTTCCCCGCCGTGATATTTCTGGAATACTGCAAAAAGCGCCGTAAAATAAACTCACTCACTCACTCGTGAACAACTTACTGCAAATATAGTGGCAGCACAAAATAGAGTTTGATATGCAAACAGTGATTAAGCAGTAAAGACGGTGATATTTATATTCTGAAAATGGTCAAGCTTTCAGGATAGACTCATGCAGGGTGAAAAGGGATCTTTACACTATCCTGTTTCCTGAAGCCCATGAATATCCGGGTTAGAGCCTTCAGAAATAAATGCTTGTTGCAGGAGGCGACTAACGGGATCGCGTGGTAGGCTAGTTGACACATGTTAGTGTATCCCAATTACGTAGATCGATGCTCATGTTGTTGATCACTGGATTTTCTTATCCAGACGCGATTATGTACAGACCGCCATATAGCTGGAACATTTCTGAGTACGGCGTTAAACAACATCCAATTCAGTCCTGAACTTGAATCTTGACACAATTCACTGACGTAATTCACTGTTCCACGGTGAATTATATTGTCACTTAACAACAGTCTCAAGTCGAATATAATCAGTTTTATATTACCCACTCCCAGGCTGCCCCCGTGGGTACTGCCATCGTCGGCGTTCCCGACGCCGTTCCGGGCGTGGACATCACCGTTACCCCAACTCCGTTCAACGACTTCGCGAGGGCCCTCCTACCCCAGTGCGACAACACTATCATCGGGTTTGATCCGATCCTGATGGCGTCTGCAGTTGGAGCTCCAAACACTGCAGTTTTCCCCAATGAAGGCTTGTGTGGAAACTGCAACGGCAACCCTGGTGATGACAACGAGTTCCAGGGACTTCCGGGAGTGTCTGCTAGAGAAGCGGATATGGCGTTCAGCCTTCGAGAACTTTCCATTGAACAAAGGTTTGTAAATCCTAGTCTCTATGAATGATTTACAATGTATCTCCATTCTTCATACAGCATTCTCAGCTCTTGCAGTGTACAACCTGAAATTAAACGTATCTATATTGATATATTATCTGTTGAGATTCTGCATTTAATAATGACATGGAGCAGGATTCGAGGACAAATACGTTAAAAGAGATTATTGACTCTCAATATTGTCTTGCAGTAGTGCAAGCATCAAGGCAGTATACATGTTCAATAATCTCAATGTTATGTCGAAGCATTGTCACAACATTCGTGACCAACTCATGTTATTCCATGACAAGCATAGCGACTCGTGCCCTTTTGATAGGTTTTCATATTGGCGTATGAAGATCAGAACTACTTTCAACAAGAACGATAACTCTATTCCTGTTTGATTCCAATGGTACTTAATATCGCCAAGTACCAGTCTCAGTAAACGTAAGCTCAGTATTATTCGTTACACTGCTATACTGAGCCAAACAAACCCTAGTAGAAAGTCTCGTCAGCTCACCTTTTGAATTTATCAGTCAGAACACAGCTTACCAAATTGCGAAAGTTACATTTCGCACATACCGTTTGAACCTCGAAAACGTTTGTACCCGAACGGGCTTGAATGCTAGTATTTACCGCAATATTGCTTCCCAGTAATACACATGGAGGACGCCATTATTCACGACAGTGAGTAAACAATCGCTGAAAATAGCGTGTTTGTCAATAATCAAGGATGTCATCTTGCGGAAATATATGCTAATAGTAACCATGTAATCAGAAACCCCTACGCGTATATATTGCAGGTCAAATATATGTGTTTTATGCGGATTGTTGTTTGTTGAGGGATCAGTGTCAGCGAACGGGAATATGCATCTTGTAAATCCCGCCGAATCCTAAATAACAGCTATTGTCTTATTTGTTACATCAGTTCGGGCGTCTCGCGTTTGATTGGACGGTCTTAGGTCGCTCAAAGGTTAGCTGACACGACCTTCAACTAGGGTCAGTATATAGTGCACTGTGTAACGAATAATACCCACCCTACGTTTACTTAGGCTGCGCCAAGCGCTTGTATATTAGACCTTTTTGATACAGTTAAAAGATGGAGAAATAATATTTGTTAGACACATATTCTAAAAAAATAGCATACATTTCTTGCATTTTCTAACGTAATTATTACCAGCTGTTGGCCTTATATCAAAATTGTATATTTCTAAATAATGTTTAAGAATCACAAATTCAATTTGTTTTGGTTTGTTTGTTTGGGTTTTTGTTTGTTTTTGACTTTTGGGGGATGTGTGTTTATTTTGTTATTGTTGTTTTAGGGGAGAGGGTGTTGTTTTTAATATGCAAGTACAGGATATTTTCTTCCATAGCAGATACTCCAAAATGACTTTAAAATATTACTCAAACTTAACATTCGTGTAACCTTGCTGCATTCCCATGGTGGAATTGTAATAAGATAAGCACTGAAAAGAATATAATTGACACAATAAGGTGAGACTAAAATATCCCCAGTGATGTGAAATAAAAGCCCAAATGTAACCCACAATGAACATCGAGTTGCAAATGAAAGTAGCCTCCCTTAGACCAAGTTACCCGAAAATGGCCACGTGGTGTACCCTAATGGATATTACAAACCGTTTCTTAACAGATAACTATCTGTTGGATCACATAGCCAACATAAAATGATGAGTTAAGTTTTGTTAATGCAGGCATCGCTAAATTTGTGATACACTAAAATAATGTTATAATGAACATGGTTTGCGGATACGGTTTCTAATTATTGATCTCGGGGAAGATTGCTTCATAGGAGAACAGTCTGTGTTCAAATTATCAGCGGCGCAGAATTGATATATTCACAGGCCTTCTTTTACCAACGTCAGTTTTCAATGTCGATTTTGGCAAAGTTTACTTGAGTCTTTAAAACAAAACAGGGCCTCCTTTCACGAAGCAACTTTATTAAAGTTAACCTTAACTCACATTCTTTAAGATTGCATTAAGGTAACCTTAGTGACTTACGATCTCCTTACTGCTTTGTGAAAGGAAGCCCTGGGTCCCGGTCCTCAAAGCGATCGTAGCGCTAAGATGATCGTAACTCCAATACTTTAACATAGACTAACGCTACGATCGCTTTGAGGAACGGGGCCCTGGTAGTTAAGATTAGATCACCGTATTATTGGTGTGACTCTCTGACATGGTAAAGTTATGCTATCGTATCCCATGTGATGCTGATGATGTAAATCACTGGATTATCTGGTCCAGGTGTAGTTATTTAGAGACCTCTGTAACAAGCTGTTAAGCGATAGTGCAGGTCTTACACGTTACGTGAATCCACTATCGCAGAATAGTGCTGTATATAGTTGGAACAATGCTGAACACACGATTGTAATTATTATGATAAAAACATTTATAATGTTTTTGCAGTACCCCCGACGGACCAAGATGTACCGAACTTCGTCAGGTGGCTAACGGTACATTATGCGCCCCACCCCAGCAACTCGCTAACGCTGTTAGATGCTGTGGGGTCTTCTACGACAGCGCCTTCGCAAGCTGCTTACTGGCGAACCCCTCCTTACCCGTGAACAGAGATTTATTGCTGACTCTGATGCGGGACTGCTTGTTAAACTATTGTGTTACCGGTAACAGAGCGCTTGCAGCTAACTTCGTCCCAACCCTAACGACGAGCACTGCATGTGTGGCGGCAGACTACGTGTGTCCTCCGTAATACTCCGTAATAGGTGGGGTAGCCTTGTGCTTAAAGAGGTGGCTCGTCACGCAAAAAAAAACCCAGGTTCGATTCCCAACTTGGATACAATGTGTGAGACCCTCTTCTGGTGTTCCCCCGCCGTGATATTGCTGGAATATTACTAAAAGCGGAGTTAAACCATACACACTGACTGACTGACTTGTTAATATACCACAACTGTATAACTGTTAAATTAAAATATAATCAATTTTAATTGCAATTGGAATTTGTTCCTGAACACGATGAAAACGCACAATCGGACACCTCGAAATCTAATAGATCGGTTTGTGTCTTTTTGTCAGTCCCATACTTCAACATCCAGATCGACTAACTTAACTTCATAATTGAGCCATTTTGCCAAATATTCAGAAAACCATGACTTTTTTTAGGGCGTTGGGGTAACCTAGTGGTTAAAACGTTCGCTCGTCACCCCGAAGACCAGTGTTTGCTTCCCAAATGTTCTTTTGGACGCCAATGGCCCGTCAATCCTTCCTGTGTTGGCTCTATGATCTATATAGGTGTGCATAAAAGTGTATACTTAATACTACTGTTATATGGTAAAAATACATCCCTAAAACCATGAGAGAATTACATCAGATTCCGTATTTAGATTTGCAGTTTTGCTCATGAGTCATAACGGTAAGGCACGGTATGGAGACGTAAAGTCTCCATAGAATGGCGTTTAGCCGTAGGCTACGGAAAGAGTGACAGAACACATTCGTCGTGTAATACATGACAGAATAATCTAACATTGAAACAATAACAAATAAATTAAAAGAGGTGAGTTGCCGAACGGTGCTACCCGATATTCATCCAATCACGACACACGATATTCATCCAATCACAACACACAATATTCATCCAATCACGACACCAATATTCATCCAATCACAACAAACGATATTCATCCAATCACGACATACATGAGTGCAAGGTCGGATACAGGATTAACGAATAAAAACGATGAGTTGAAGCATGTGACCAAAAAACAGGCTAGGTTCGAACCATTTAAAAAGACATGTTTACAATTGGGCCAGGAGGTCTGACGCCGGTGAGTGACCTTGAGGAAACCATTGCCTGAAACATGCTCTACATATATACTGAGAGAAACAAATAAAGGATCACTGTACAATTCAACCCTTCCTTTATTATTTTCCAGTTTCCATCACCAAGGTGCTATTAAAAGCTAGTGATGGAAAATGGAAAATATTAAAGCAACGCTTGAATGTCCCTGTGTTCCTTTATTTCTTTCTGTCAGTATATATGCTCTCCCAAACTCTAAAGAATGAGCGAGTGAGTGAGTTTAGGTTTACACCGCACTCAGCTATATGGCGGCGGTCTGTAAATGCTCCAGTCTGGACCAGACCATCCAGTGATCAACAGCATGAAGATCGATCTTCGCAATTGGGAAACGATGACATGTGTCAACCCAGTCAGCGAGCCTGACCACCCGATCCCGTTGGTCGCCTCTTTCGAAAAGCATGTGTTGCTGAAGATCAATTCTAACCCGGACCTTCACGGGTTCTAAAGAATGAACTAAAGAGGGAGTCAATATTCAGTCTAGAATGACTGGACAAGGCCGGATTACCTCAGTTCCCAAATTTAAGGAAGATTTTAAGCTCCACTGGGATTATATGTGCTTGTATATACTCTTTAGGGTACCCTCTTTAGATCTATATAATCACACAAGTGCTTGTAGGTTTGATCTGAGCGGTAAATGACTGGGGTCAAAGCGGTGTCAAAACCAAGTAATTTGTTTTCTACAATCAAAATAATTGGATGTGAAACCAACAAAGAAAATAGAAATATTATATTATTATATATCAAGTATTTTACAATTAATTCTATCTTACCTCACACATAAATGTCGTTTTCTGATTGGCTGAGCGCCCTTCTAATATTTTCAATATACACGTACTCTGTGATATTGCTGGAATATTGCTAAAAGCGGTGTAAAACTAAACTCACTCACTCACTCACTCGTGAACAACTTATAAGGTTCACAAATAACTGCAAATACAGTGGCAGCGCAAAATAGAGTTTGAATACAAATGCAATGGCAATATAATATGCAATCAGTGATTAAGCAGTAGAGACGGTGACATATATATTCTGAAAATGGTCAAGCTTTCAGGATAGACTTCTGCTCATGCAGGGTGGAAAGGGATCTTTACACTATCCCGTTTCCTGAAGCCAATGAATATCCGGGTTAGAGCCTTCAGAAATAAATGGATAACGGGATCGCGTGGTAGGCTAGTTGACACATGTTTCAGATTCAAACACGTCAACGCAAGCGGCAACCAGCGACCGAATCCTCACGCAACAGAAGCTAGACGCCTTCTCGTTTGGCACGCCCATAGGGCAACGGCCAAGGCCCGGTTATTATCTCACAAGGACCTATCGCCGATGACACCGCAAGTACTAACTCCGAGAGTGATATCGTGACTGACAATACCACTCTCTCCCTTTTGTGTTGGAACGTTAACGGTTTGAGGGACAAAATAAACGACTGTGAATTTTTAGTACATCTTCGGAAATTCAAAATAATATGCCTTGTTGAGACGTTTGTTATCGACATGTCAAATATGAATTGGTTGGACGGTTATGACGTTTTCTATAGCCCAGCAGTAAAGCTATCTGATTGTGGTAGACTTTCTGGTGGTGTATGTGTTTGTATCCACCATTCTATAAGCAAAGTGTGCACTTTACTATCCCCAGTAGTTGACAATTTCATCTTCTTGAAACTGCCTAAAAAGTTATTTTCAGTTGCAAAAGATATCAACTTACTATGCACTTATATCCCACCCCTGGGTTCCCCGTACTATTCTAACAGAGATTATAAATGTAACATTGAACAAATCGAACAGTTTCTTATAGAAACCCTTCCAGAAATCAGTGATTCATTCACAATACTCTGTGGAGATATGAATGCTCGCACAGGCAGGCGAAATAACCATTACGTTAGTTTTGATGATGACATCGGACATGAGCATCTAAAATATAGTGAAGAAGGGGATACCCCACTCGATGACCGCAAATCGCATGATAAAGTTGTAAATAGTTTTGGTCGTATTTTATTAGATATGTGTGTTATGCACTTCAATTGTTTATTGTCAATGGCAATGCTTTTGGAGATAGGCTTGGAGAATATACTTTTTGTAATCATCAGGGCTCGAGCGTGAACGATTATATCATCTGTTCACAGGGTTTTTTCCAGTATATTGAGATGTTTAACATTGGAGATCGCATTGACTCAGACCATTTCCCACTGGAGTTGACTTGTAAATTTCCACATGTACACAATGAAAATGAACTGACCGATGGTTGTTATGATAAAGAAAAGATTGTTTGGAATGATTCGCTATGTAAATACTTTGTCGATAATTTATCTGATAAAATGTTGTCCTGTTGTCAACATTTACATACAATGCTTGATATTGACATTGATGGTGCTATTGATGAATTTGTACATATGATTTTAATCTCGTCCGAGTTGTATGAAAAAGGGTAGTGTTAAACATGCTAACAGTAATAGAACGCCCCAACTGAATGCGGAATGCAAATCAGCGAGGCGTGATGCCAGTAAGACCCTCAGGGCATTTCGGTGTAAACGCACAGTTTCGAATAGAACGCAATACTGCAAAATGAGAAATAAGTTTAAAAATTGCTGTAGAAGATTTAAATCTAAATATTGCAAACAAAGGCAAAACAGACTCAGCAGTTCGATCAAATGTCCTTCTAAATTTGGAGAGAAATACGCTTCTTACAAACCGACCGCACCATCAAATTTCTATTCCCAAACTGAATGGCTAATGCATTTTAAGAAAATATTCTCAAACGAGTCTGTATTTGATATCGATCAAGATAACGATGTTTTAAATGACATGGTTAGTTCACCATCAGAATGTTACATGGATGTGGATAATTTTATTCTAGAATAACCAATATCAGAAAATGAAATATCCAATGCTATATCACACTTAAAAAACGGGAAAACGGCTGGTCCTGATCATATCATCATAGAAATGATAAAATGTTCGGAATTCGTAATCATGCCATTTCTGATAAAATGTTTCAATAGACTATTTGATAATGGTATGTTTCCAACTAGCTGGTCTTCTTCAATTATTGTTCCTCTTCATAAGAAGGGGAAATTTGATGATCCTGACAACTATAGAGGCATCTCACTTATGAGTATTCTGGGCAAAATATTCACAACTTACTAAATAATAGAATAACAAATTGGGCAAATATGAGGGACTTAATCCCAGAAACTCAGGCCGGTTTTCGAAAAAACTATTCTACTTCAAATCACATCTTTACATTAAATGCAATAATTCAAAAACGTCTTTCACGCCGAAAACACAAATTGTATGTAGCGTTTGTCGATTTTAAAAAAGCTTTCGATTCTGTTGATCGTTCTAAATTATGGTATTGTCTGCTAAAGACCGGATTACGAGGGAAAATGTATTCTGTTTTAAAGTCTATGTATTCTAATATATAATCATGAGTGCGATGTGGTGATGATTTTACAGATTATTTTGATTGTCCAGTCGGATTAAGACAAGGATGTATTTTAAGCCCAATGTTATTTTCATTTTTCATTAATGAATTGTATTACGATATTGCTAAAAATGGAAAACATGGTATTCAGATGTTCCCAGATATGATTGAAATACTAATGTTACTTTTTGCTGATGATGTCATTTTAGTTTCAGACACTATTGTAGGACTACAAAATCAACTTAATATCTTGGGACGTTACACAAAAGAATGGAAGTAATCGGTTAATTACGACTAAACAAATATTGTCATTTTCAGAAGGGGTGGTTCGTTATCCGTAAATGAAACGTGGGTACTAAATGGGATACACCTTAAGATTAATAGTCATTATAAATATCTTGGTCTTCTGTTTACCCATACAATGAATTTTTCTAAAAGCATAGAAGATTTAGTATCAAGAGCAAAGAAAGCCCTATTCAACGTTATGTCTGTTTCATATAAAATTGGGGCGGTGGGGTAGCCTAGTGGTTAAAGCGTTGGCTCGTCACGCCGAAGACCCGGGTTCGATTCCCCACATGGGCACAATGTGTTAAGCCCATTTCTGGTGTCCCCCGCCGTGATATTGCTGGAATATTGCTAAAAGCGGCGTAAAACTAAACTCAGTCAGTCAGTCAGTCATATAAAATTGGAATTACCTCACCTAATATATTTTTTAAACTCTTTGATTCGCAGATACAACCAATAATGTTATATGGATCTGATATTTGGGGTTATCAAAGATACGATTGTTTAGAAAAACGTCACCTTTTAGCATGCAAAAGATATTTATCCGTTGGATTATCTACACCAAACTGTATGATTTAAGGCGAATGTGGAAGACACCCAATATATATCAATTCTCAGATTAGATGCTTGAAATATTGGATAAAACTTATTGGTATGCATGAAAATAGAATTCCAAAGCTGGCTTATAATATGCTTTTACATTTAGACACACATCGGTAAAATTACATGGGCATCCCACGTAAGAAAACATTTTGTTCTCTCATGGTTTTGGTTTTATTTGGATGAACCAAACTATTGGGAATGCCAGTCTCTTTTTACATAATTTTAAACACCAAGCCATTGATATGTTCTATCAGAATTGGCATTCTACCCTTCAAGACAGCTCAAGGTATGACTGCTACAGGACATTTAACAGTTTACTCCAGCCTGAAAAATATTTGTCTGTTTTATATTTTAAAGATTTAAGAAATATTTTTATCAAATTTAGACTTGGTTTGTTAGATTTAATGATAAATGAAGGCAGAAAATGTCCATAGATAAGAACAGTGAGAATTTGTCCGCTATGTAAATCCGCAGCTGAGAATGAAATCCACTTTTATGCCAGTCTGTCCATCCTACTCCATTCTCAGAAGCAACATATTCCACGCCCGTTTTGTCAAAAATCTCCTGCTCTAGCCATCCTTGATGTCTTCAAAATGATAACGTTATTCTTAATCTGTCATTATTTATCAAACATAGTATGATACTAAGAAAAAGTACTGTTAAACAGTTTAAAGCGCAAGAACGAAATTTCGGGCCAATAGATTGTCATCTTGTTCTCCACTATTATATATGGTATTCTGTATACTATTTGCAAATGTATATTTGTATGTGGGCCGGAGGCCTTAGATACAATAAGCTCTTTTGACTTTGACTTTGACACATGTTAGTGTATCCCAATTGCGTAGATCGATGCTCATGTTGTTGATCACTGGATTTTCTTATCCAGACGCGATTATGTACAGACCGCCATACAGCTGGAACATTGCTGAGTACGGCGTTAAACAACATCCAATTCAATCCTGAAATTAAATCTTCACACAATTTAACTGAATTGTAACACTGTTCCACAGTGAATTATATTGTCACTTAACAACAGTTTCAAGTCGAATATAATCGGTTGTTTTATATCACCCTATCCCAGGCTGCCCCCGTGGGTACTGCCATCGTCGGCGTTCCCGACGCCGTTCCGGGCGTGGACATCACCGTTACCCCAACTCCGTTCAACGACTTCGCGAGGGCCCTCCTACCCCAGTGCGACAACACTATCATCGGGTTTGATCCGATCCTGATGGCGTCGGCAGTTGGAGCTCCAAACAATGCAGTTTTCCCCAATGAAGGCTTGTGTGGAAACTGCAACGGCAACCCTGGTGATGGCCTCAGACCACAATTATTTTCCTTCTTTGCTATCTACAGTGACATGCCAGTGCACCATAATTAATATCGGTCGTAGGCTGTTCTCCTGTTGCATGCTCACCAACCTGCCACTTGTCACTTAATCGGCAAAATATGAGCCTGGATCGACCATGTCGATTTTGCTGTATCCACTGTAAACAATGGTCACCGGAAGTTACGAGCCGAAACACACCAGACAGCCTTGAACTTGGGGTCAAATCAAGGAAGGCTGGTGTCAATACCATGAGTAGATTGTGGACCAACAAAATTTTGCAATAAAGTACAATGTCTTACCTTTCATTTAAGCTATCACAAGTCACCCTGAAAAAATCAGCACAAGCAGAACAGCCCATTTAAACAAGGCACTATATTCTCATATTTTACTTCCGGGTCATGGTAAAAGTTAAGGGGGGTAACTGTGGTCTGAGGCCTATCAGGACACCAAAAAGTCTGCAAATTAAATAAAACTTAATCAATACTAAGCCCAGACACTATGTAAGGCTCACAGAAAATTTGAAAGCCCTAACTCATACACAACTTGACTTATACTGCTTTTACTCCATGCTGTATCTCTGGCATTTGAGTGTTAATTTTGGGCATGAATTAATTTCAAACACAATTCTAATTTGTCTATAACTCCATAACCAGGTGGAAATTGACAAAAACATCAAGTGTTCCTCTTTGTTATTGCATGTGCTATCAAAGGACAATGGTTTCAGTCCATTAAAGCATTTTTTCATTTTTTTCTTATTTTATATACATACATGCATTTTATACTAAAATAATTCCATTAAAGTTCATATTTTCAACAAAAATGAAAATTGAAACTGTTAAATTTGTATTCATTAGAAAGCCCTATCTTCCTCGTTAAATTGATTGGCTGCACAAGTAGCTGAGTACAGCCAATCAAGTGCAGCGAGTCACCAAGCATGTCCACTCACCTGACACCTGGCCAATACGCGACAAAGTGTCAGTAGGTGTGTATGGCTCAACCGCGATTTATTAATTCAGTGGCGCAAGACATGTGTATGTCTTGAGTTTCCAATACATTTTCTAATACATATACCTGCTTGTCAGTGCCAGTGACAACACACAGAGATGGGATATATAAGTACATGCTGTGCTCAGAGCTCATTAGTTCTATTCGACACAATCACGATGAAAGGCGACCGCAAGAGAATCAAGTCACAGTTCAGCAAAGGCCATACTCCCTGGAACAAAGGTCTCACCCCTTGAATCGAAGAGTCGGAAAGTGCCTCCACCCCAGATACCCAGGACAGTCACTAGGTTGAGTGCAGAAGACTTCTCCCTGGTCACCAAGTCAAGGCTGGATGGCACTGGGCTGTCAACACCTGACTGCGATGGCATCTCTATTTCAGTGAGGCTGCTGCGTCCCACTTCAACGAGCAAGCATGACCTGAAACAAGAGTCAAGCAAAGATGACTTGGAGGGTATGCGACTAGTCGACAAATGAAAAGGTGGCCGAAGCATGGAACACAGCTCTGCGGACTGCATCGGTCAACATCCAGTGACTGTGACGACCCTCAGCTGCAGATAGCCAAGGAGAGAAAATGGGGAGCATGCTGGAAAATAACACTGAAATGTGTCACATGTGACTTTGTAGCACCTGAAATGAAGTTATACAAAGAAATCGAGACGGGTAAACCTGGGCCAAACCCAGCAGCACCCAACGTGGACTTGCCTTTGGGTCTACAGGACACACCTATAGGAAATACGAGAGCGAGGTTACTGATGGCCAACATGGACATTCCACCCCATGCAGGAGCAGTATGCAGAGGACCTCCAACAAGGTGGCTAAGGCTGTAACTGAACTTAACACTCAAGGATATGGCAGAAAAGGTGGAGTTAGTGAAGGAAGTTAATCGAAAGAGGGGTACTGAGCCGTGTGAGATGAACATTGCTATGGATGGCCGATAACAACTCGACAACAATAGCAAGCAGGAAGAAGCCAGGGCAGAATGCATCACAAGCAATCGGCATCGCCTGCGAAACTGTTACTGACAAGAAGTTCATCGTCAGTGCGTCATTCCAGAATAAGCTCTGCTGGACTGGTGCCTGGCTGAAAGGAAAAGGCATGGATGTGAAATGTCCAGGGGGGCACCCAGACTGTACTGCGAACATGTCGGCCTTCACTCCATTCTCTGAGTTCAAAATGGGAGAGGACATTGGTAATCAGCTCGCACTACAGGGTGTACCATAAAGTATGCCACAACCGATGGGGATTCGAAGTCTGCAGATGGAGTAGACAAAGCTCAAAGTGTTGGACCCAATGTGGAAGGTGCAAAGGCTAGCTGACCCAACCCACTTGGCTCAAGGACAGTTCCGACAATGTTACAGAGCTGATTTTAACCCAGATATGTTCCCCGGCACTACTCGTACACATAAAATGGAAGCAAAGAAGGTGCTGAGCCAGGATGTCAAAGCACGGTGCAGCCTGATACTAAAAGAACTCATGAAAGATCATGCAGGTGACATGAAAACACTTCGTAGTATCTTACCAAGAGTGCTCGAAGCAACCCTCAAGTGCTACAGCGGCGACTGCTCCAGGTGTGCCCGGTACTCAGTTGTGTGTAGAGGAGGTGTAACAAACAGCTGGTGGCAGCGATCCATGTTCCTCGGCTGCAACAGTATCACTCATTTCAATATGGATGACAATGATAAACACTTGCTTAATGAAATTCTCAAAATGAAGTTAAGTGTAGAAGTGGTGGAACAAATGAAACTGTACACAGACACACAGAAATGTGAAGCTGCCAATCGATCACTGAGTATTTCTTTGCCAAAGAATGTAAACTTTTCAAGGAACATGATTGGGAGGGCTTCTTCCACAATTCACAGGCTCAACAATGGCCCTGGGACATCAGCAATCGACAAGTGCGACCATTCTGGGGTGAAACTTTCAAGCCGAGCTGTGCGGTCACTTGAACAAATGGACAAGGAGGCTACCTATCACAAAGACTATCAGAAAAGCCCCAGTGTTGTGAAAAGGAAACTTACACAGCATGGAAGCAAGATCTGTGAACATTTGAAGTCTAAACAGACTGACAAGCAGAGTGGGGACTACAGAAAGGGTCAGTTAGACCCTGTACCGTGTTTCAGCAAAAACCATGAACATTCTTATTCAAAATATTGAAAATGTGCAGTGATGCTGCAGAACTGTATGTGCTAATTACTTCCTAAAGACAGATACTGTGTAACTTTAAGTTTAAATACATCATAATGTCTCTAAAGCTATGTGTTGTGAATAAATGCTATGTCACAACTAACTGTGACTGTGGTGAAAATCAGGAAATATGAATAAAATTTTACTATATTATTTGATATAGTATTTTTCATATACTTTGCCTTTGTTTTTCTGTTCTCCTATGACTTCAATGCCAAAAGGCAATCTGGGAAAGGTGCATGGCCTTTACACACACCCCTGTTTACACAGGCCACTCTGTCTGCATTTATGCTGTGTGGTTCAGCAGACAGGTGTTCGACATAGGTGCATTTACTGTTGTGGCACAAAATGGCTGATGTCGTAATCACCTATGTCGAAGTTTTCCCTGTGTACTATAAAACTCAGCCTGTGAGCATGAGTAGTACGCCACTGGTAGGCTATGGGGCAAAAATACCGCAACACCCCATACCCACTGTGCTTGCATGCTCCAGTCCACATATGACATATGCCATTTTCCACACTGAGGACTGAATTCTTCACAAACTTGGCTCTATATCTTTGGAAAAAAGGCTTGAATATTAGCCATTTTAGGTATCACATGCATCTATAAGGCACGTGCGGTGTAGTGATACATACATTCACCATAATTGAACCAATATGTCTAAATATGATGCGTCCGCTCACTCACTAAAACAATATGCAATCAGAAAACTGAAATAAATTCATAAAAAATGTAAAAAAAAATATTTTCAGTTGAAAACACATGTATACATATTTCAAATGCTCCTGGCAGTAAATATGCAAAGTTTCAAGTGAATATTTTGAAAATAACAGACATATAGCAAATTAAACACTTGCACTACCTTCACCATATCAGGCCTCAGACCACAATTATTTTCCTTCTTTGCTATCTACAGTGACATGCCAGTGCACCATAATTAATATCGGTCGTAGGCTGTTCTCCTGTTGCATGCTCACCAACCTGCCACTTGTCACTTAATCGGCAAAATATGAGCCTGATCGACCATGTCGATTTTGCTGTATCCACTGTAAACAATGGTCACCGGAAGTTACGAGCCGAAACACACCAGACAGCCTTGAACTTGGGGTCAAATCAAGGAAGGCTGGTGTCAATACCATGAGTAGATTGTGGACCAACAAAATTTTGCAATAAAGTACAATGTCTTACCTTTCATTTAAGCTATCACAAGTCACCCTGAAAAAATCAGCACAAGCAGAACAGCCCATTTAAACAAGGCACTATATTCTCATATTTTATATTTTACTTCCGGGTCATGGTAAAGTTTAAGAGGGGTAACTGTGGTCTGAGGCCTAGTCTGTATGAATCTTAAAAATTTTAAACAAACATTTATCTCCATTCCGTTCATACAACATTTTCAGCTCTTGCAGTCTACAGTCATGCCGGAACCTGAAATTAAACTTATTTAAATTGAAATCAAAATTATTTAACTTCAAAACAAATGTCGTGTGGGGATTATAAGTGAGTCCGTTTTTGCGCAGTTTGTTCTGGACGAACTATGTACTACTATGATAGACATTTCGGTTTTCACAAAACACGAGAGATTCATAAGCTTTATGATTGAAATATTTCACTTGAGATTCTGTATTTAATAATGATCTGTAACGGAAGTCGAGGACAAATACGTTAAACCTACAGTAGAGATAATAGACTCTCAATATTGTCTTGCAGTAGTGCAAGTATCAAGGCATTATACATGTTCAATAAACTCAATGTATTGTTCAAGCATTGTTACAACATTAACCCCATTCGTGACCAACTCGTGTTATTCCGGGACAAGCCGAATTGCGAGTCCTTCTTATTTGCGTATGAACATCGAACTACTTTAAACAAGAACGGTAACTCTATTCCTGGTTGATTCCAATGGTACGTAATATCGCCAAGCATTCGTATATTGTAATGCTGTAACATATGCTATATTTAGGATTACACTTTCTTTGTAAAGTACAGATTCTAGTACTTTTGTTGGGTTGAGTCCCATCCGGAATTCGAACCAACACCCTCAGAGTCAGGCACCCAATCGCCAGCACATAAAGTCAGACGCCTAGACCGCTCAGCCACCGCGACTTCCACTTGTCCGACTTCCATATTTGTGGAATTGTAAAAGGATTTTTACTGAAAAGAATATAAATGAAACAAAATAGTCAGACTAAAATATCGTTAGATAAGTGAGATATAAGCCCAAATGTACCCACCATGAACATCGAATTGCAACTCGAGAGTAGCCTCCCTTAGACCAAGTAAAGCGAAAATGGCCAAGTGGTGTAGCTTGACGGATATTACAAATAGTTCCATAACAGATAAACCATCTATAACACCACATAGCCAACATGAAATGATGGGTGATTGTTCTTTGAGTTTCAAGTTAGGTTTTTGTTAAATGCATACGCTAAGGTTGTGATACACAGAAATATTGCTAATAGTACAATGAACATGTTGTTCGGATATGATTTTTAACTATTAATCTCGGAGGAGATTGCTTCATCAGAGAACAGTCTATGTTCAAGTCGTCAGCGGCGTATAATTGTTATATTCTCAGGTCCTCTTTTACCAACGTCAGTTTGTTTTCAGCGTTGAGTGTCGACTATGTGCAAAGTTTTATTGAGTCTTTAAAAGAAAAGTGATCGTTAACGTTAGATCGTCGTATTATTGGTGTGACTCTCTGACTTGGTAAATGAATGTGATCGTATCCCATGTGATGCTGATGATTTAAATCACTGGATTATGTGGTCCAGATGTAATTATTTACAGACCGCTGTAACAAGCTGGTCAGCGATAGTGCACATCTTAAACAATACCTATTGGTGAATCACGTTATCGCGGTATGGTGCTGTATATAGTTGGAACAATGCACACGATTATAATTATTATCACAATTATTTTTTTATATTTTTTTTCGCAGTACCCCCGACGGACCAAGATGTACCGAACTTCGTCAGGTGGCTAACGGTACATTATGCGCCCCACCCCAGCAACTCGCTAACGCTGTTAGATGCTGTGGAGTTTTCCACGACAGCGCCTTCGCAAGCTGCTTACTGGCAAACACCGCCTTACCCGTGGACAGAGATATACTACTGACTCTGATGCGGGACTGCTTGTTTAACTATTGTGTGACCGGTAACAGAGCTGCTGCAGCTAGCTTCGTCCCAGCCCTCCTAACGACAAGAACTGCATGTGTGGCGGCAGAC